TTGGAGAGGCAGACAAAAGCCAGTGCATAGAAAACCAGGGAATGAGAGAGTGAGAGGAGCAGAGTCAAGGAAATCCTGATGGTTTTCTGGGGCTTCCAGCTCCAGACGCTTTCCAAGGCCCAGCGGGATGTCCTCTCTTGGAGGCATCTCTGTATCATTGTAATTCCCTTTCTCTGCTAAAGCCAGTGCTACTTGGTAGCTGTGAGCTGTAAACAAGAATCCCCTCCCCTTTGCATGGCAAAGGCTCAAATGAAGCTGTGTGTATGTGTATTATTATTATTTTTGAGAAAAGTTCTTGCTCTGTTGCCCAGGCTGGAGTGCAGTGGCACAATCATTGCTCATTGCAGCCTCAAATTCCTGTGCTAAAGTCATCCTCCCGTCTTAGCCTCTGTAGTAGCTGAGACTGCAGGAGTGTGACACCATGCCTGGCTGCTTAAAAACGTTTCCTTTTCATGGAGACAGGGGTCTCGCCATGTTGCTGGGGCCGGTCTTGAACTCCTAAGAGATATTTCTGCTAGAACATTCTGGAACAATTCAAGTCTCTTCCTACAAATACATACTGAGCAGGATGCTTAACAGGGAAACAGCTCCTGGAAGGCACAGCACCCTTTGAGAGTTTCTTAGAGTCCAGCAGCCCCTTACACAGTTTTCTTGTGACAATCAGACACGAAATCCATGAGCAAGAGATGCAGAATGTTGCATCAGAACCCCCGGCCCTACAGGGTCTGAGCAGCGGGATGCAGGGCAAAGGAGGGCTGGGCTGAAACTCCGACTAGTCTTTGTGTGCCTGTCTCTATATCGTAAACACTAGGCTGTGGACAGCGGAAATGGTGTGGGTTTCAGTTCTGGATCCCCTCCATTCTTTCGTCCCTTACCCTTCTAAAAGGAAAATGCTCCCAAACCTAGCCTGTGACCAGACCTTTCTGTAATAACCTCCTTCTGGAAAGAAATTAGCATTCCTGATAAATGTTCGAGCAGTGAGCTTTTTTTTTTTTTTTGGACTAAGTCTTGCTCTGTTGCCCAGGCTGGAGTGCAGTGACACAGTCTCGGCTCACTGCAACCACTGCCTCCTAGGTTCAAGCGATTCTGCTGCCTCAGCCTCCCAAGTAGCTGGGATTACAGGTGCCTGCCACTACATCTGGCTAATTTTTGTATTTTTAATAGAGACAGGGGTTTCATCATGTTGGCCGGGCTGGTCTTGAACTCCTGACCTCGTGATCTGCCTGCCTCGGCCTCCCAAAGCACTGTGGTTACAGGCCTGAGCCACCTCACCTGGCCTTCAGCATGAAATATTTTCAAAAGAAAATTTTGAAATTTAAGAGCATTGAGATTTGCACTGGGAAACTAGCTTTCTACTCACTCAGTTGATAGTCATTTGTCAAAAGTGCGGCGACCTTTAACAGAACGTTCTTATTTTGTCTAACAGTGATCATCTAATCATTCTCTTCTCCTGTAAAATGTCTCTAGCAACATAGAAATCAGAAGAGTGGTCAACCTTTTTCGGGGTGGGGAGAGGGTATATTGCCTGGGAGGCGGTGCAGGGGGGCTTCTGTAGTTGTGCAAATGTTCTATATCTTGAGCTGGGTCACAGATGTGTACAAATGTAAAAATTCATCAACCTGTATCCTTGAGTGTGCAGTTTAATCTACATATGTGATACTGTAACACAAAATAAAAGTTTTAGAAAATGCCCCTACCAAGTATGAATCTTTGAATGAGCCTCCCAGTGGGTTTACACTTGCAGCAAGACTGTAATAATTTTTGTTTTTGAGACGGAGTTTCGCTCGTTACCCAGGCTGGAGTGCAATGGCGCGATCTCGGCTCACCGCAACCTCCACCTCCTGGGTTCAGGCAATTCTCCTGCCTCAGCCTCCTGGGTAGCTGGGACTACAGGCGCGCGCCACCATGCCCAGCTAATTTTTGTATTTTTTAGTAGAGACGGTGTTTCACCATGTTGACCAGGATGGTCTCGATCTCTTGACCTCGTGATCCACCCGCCTCGGCCTCCCAAAGTGCTGGGATTACAGGCATGAGCCACCGCGCCCGGCCATAATTTTTTTTTTTTTTAAGAGATTGGGTCTCACCACCATGTTGACCAGGCTGGTCTTGAACTCCTGACCTCAAGCAATCCCCTCACCTTGGCCTCCCAAAGTGCTAGGGTTACAGGTGTGAGCCACCACGCTTGGCCAAGACTGTAATAAAATTTTGACATATGCTGTAACAAAACGATTGGAAAAGTTTCCTTTATTAACTTCTCTCGAATCTTTTTTTTTTTGAAATGGAGTCTCTTATTCAGGTTTTTGTGCTGGTAAAAAAAAAAAAAAAAAACTCATTTAAAAAAAAGAAAAAGAAATGAAATGGAGTCTCATTCTGTAGCCCAGGATGAAGTGCAGTGGCGTAATCTCGGCTCACTGCAACCTCCATCTCCTGGGTTAAAGTGATTCTCCTACCTCAGCCTTCTGAGTAGGTGGGACTACTGGCATGAGCCACCATGCCCAGCTAATTTTTTTTTTTTTTTTTGAGACGGAGTTTTGCTCTTGTTACCCAGGTTGGAGTGCAACGGCGCGATCTTGGCTCACCACCGCCTCCTGGGTTCAGGTAATTCTCCTGCCTCAGCCTCCCGAGCAGCTGGGATTACAGGCACGCACCACCATGCCCAGCTAATTTTTTGTATTTTTAATAGAGATGGGGTTTCACCATGTTGACCAGGATGGTCTCGATCTCTTGACCTCGTGATCCACCCGCCTCGGCCTCCCAAAGTGCTGGGATTACAGGCTTGAGCCACTGTGCCTGGCCACCCCAGCTAATTTTTATATTTTTAGTAGAGATGGGGTTTCACATTAGCCAGGTTAGTCTTGAACTCCTGACCTCAAGTGATCCATCCACCTTGGCCTCCCAAAGTGCCAAGATGCACCCGGCCTCCTGCCAATTTCTCAGCCTTGCAGGGGTTGTTCAGCAATGAAAATTGGGTTTCTCCGATTTCCCTACTGCTGATCTAGGATCCAGACTTCTCGGATCTATTAATTCAATTACAGTCTACCTACTTTCCAGCACCCAAAACTTGCTGTTGAGTTCTCTTTCTCCTCCTTATCCTCATGGGCTTATGCTATTTAAAAAAAAATCCACTCCCTGTCATTGTAGTGGGGATTTAGGAACAAGTAGACCTAAATATATATGTTCTACCACTATTCGTAGTAATACTAATGTTCAAATTTCTTAAAATTAAAAAAAAAATTAGTTTGAAACCAAAAGAGCAATTGGCAACTAAGATTTTCTTGGCCAGGCGCGGTGGCTCACGCCTATAATCCTAGCACTTTGGGAGGCCGAGGCGGGTGGATCATGAGGTTGAGAGACCGAGACCATCCTGGTCAACAAGGTGAAACCCCATCTCTACTAAATATACAAAAATTAGCTGGGCACGGTGGTGCGCGCCTGTAGTCCCAGCTACTCGGGAGGCTGAGGCAGGAGAATTGCTTGAACCCAGAAGGCAGAGGTTTCGGTGAGCCAAGATCGTGCCATTGCACTCCAGTCTGGGTAACAACAGCGAAACTCCATCTAAAAAAAAAAAAAAAAGATTTTCTTAAGTAAGTTTAGGATTACAAAAGCACTTTTGGCTGAGTGCAGTGGCTCACGCCTGTAATCCCAGCACTTTAGGAAGCCAAGGCAGGTGCACTGCTTGAGCCCAGAAGTTTGAGACCAGCCTGGGCATGATGGTAAAACTCTGTCTCTACCAAAAGAAAAACAGACAGACAGACACACACACACACACACAAAATTAGGGCGGCATGGTGGTGCTCACCTATGGTCCCAGGAGGAGGCTGAGGTGGGAGGATCACTTGAACCTGGGAGACAGAGGTTGCAGTGAGCCAAGATCTTGCCACTGCACTCTAGCCTGGGCAACAGAGTGAAACTCTGAAAAACAAAAACAACTCTATGTTTTAGAGATGGGCAAATGAATAAATGAGAGCATCTAATACTCTCTCTAAAGCAAAATGACAGCAGATAAGCCAAATCTGGCAGGCTTTTAGAAGTTATTAAAATTTATTACAAATGTTAAAGAACAGAAGAGTTTGCATTAAAAAAAAGCTTTCTTTCAGCAGCTCTGGAAAAACTGGAAAATGGGGCAACATTGAGCCCATGTTGGCAATCATTTGAAGTTAAACCATGACTGCCCCTTTCAGACAGGGTATGAGCCTTCTGGTCTACCCAAGCCCCAGCATATACTTTTTTTTTTTTTTTTGAGATGGAGTTTCACTCTTGTCACCCAGGCTGGAGTGTAATGGCAGGATCTTGGCTCACTGCAACCTCCGTCTCCCGGTTTAAGTGATTCTCCTGCCTCAGCCTCCTGAGCAGATGGGATTACGGGCATGCACCACTATGCCTGGCTAATTTTTGCATTTTTAGCGGAGACAGGATTTTTACCATGTTGACCAGGCTAGTCTCAACTCCTGACCTCAGGTGATCCACCTGCTTTGGCCTCCCAAAGTGCTGGGATTATAGGCATGAGCCACTGTGCCCAGCCTTTTATTTTTTTGAGATAGGGTCTCGCTCTGTTGCCCAGGCTGGAGTGCAGTGACATGATCTCGGCTCACTGCAAACCTCTGCCTCAGCCTCCCAAGTGGCTGGGATAACAGGCGCCCACCATCATGCCTGGCTAATTTTTGTATTTTTTTTTTGAGACGGAGTTTAGCTCTTGTTACCCAGGCTGAATGCAATGGCGAAATCTCGGCTCACTGCAACCTCCGCCTCCTGAGATCAGGCAATTCTCCTGCCTCAGCCTCCTGAGTAGCTGGGATTACAGGCACGCACCACCATGCCCAGCTAATTTTTTGTATTTTTAGTAGAGATGGGGTTTCACCATCTTGGCCAGGCTGGTCTTGAACTTCTGACCTCATGATTCACCTGCCTCGGCCTCCCAAAGTGCTGGGATTACAGGCGTGAACCTCGGTGCCGGCCATTTTATTTTTTTAAACCAGGAGACGTTTGAATTTGAGACAGGAAAGAGAGAAAACACTTTATTTGTAAAGAGAAAATGGAACTTAGTACATATCCCAAAATACTTCTGGGAGGCCACTTCTCTGAGCCCCACCTTGGAGTAGGCTAAAGGGTTAACTATGGGACTAAAAACAATTAAGAGGCACAAATCCCCGCAGAGAATACGTATATTTTGTCTCCTCTCTCCAAAACAAGCTGCAAATACTTGTGTAAACATTTGTTGATTTGTAAAATATGTCTAGTACTGCAGACAAACGTGCTGGGATGAAAGGAAATTAAGCCATGGAAACAGGACCAGGAGCGATGGCTCACACCTGTAATCCCAACACTCTCGGAGGCTGAGGTGGGAGAATCACTTGAGGCCAAGGAGTTCAAGACCAGCCTGGGCAACACAGATCCTGTCTCTCCAAAGAGTAATTTAAAAAAATTAGCCAGGCATGGCCAGGCACTGTGGCTCACATCTGTAATCCCAGCACTTTGGGAGGCCGAGGTGGCAGATCACCTGAGGTCAGGAGTTCGAGGCCTGCCTGGCCAATATGGTGAAACCCCCTTCTCTACTAAAAATACAAAAATTAGCAGGGAGTGGTGTCAGGCACTCAGGAGAGGCTGAGGCAGGGAGTCCCAGCTACTCAGGAGGCTGAGGCAGGGAGAATTGCTTGAACCAGGGAGGCAGAGGTTGCAGTGAACACTGCACTCCAGCCTGGGTGACAGAGCGAGATTCTGTCTCAAAAAAATAAATTTAAAAAAATTAGCCAGGCATGATGGTGCACTGCTATAGTTTTAGCTACTGGAGAGGCTGAGACAGGAGGATCACTGGAGCCCAGGAGGCTGAGCCTATAATGAGCTATGATCGTGCCACAGCCCAGACTAGGTAACAAAGTGAGACCTTGTGTCTTAATAGAAAAAAAAAAGCCACTAAAATAGCAACAAGACAGTTTACTTGGCTTGGAGGTCAAGGTTGTGTTTGAAGATGATAAATTCCCACAGTGCCTTTGGTCAAGGGGAGAAGAGAAATTCAGGAAGACTGGGGTTTGGGAGTTTTTTTTTTCTCTTCTTTCTTACCCATAAAGCCATCTGTCCATTCATTCATTTTTTTTCTCTTACCTACAGCAAAACTGAAAGTCATTAAACTCCAGTTTCACTTTAAATTTTATTCCCAAGCTCCTCTAAATAGCAGCAGCTCTTAAATCCCAGCTCCAGCTTACTGCTTTGCTAGCAGTAACATGGTGGGAAAAAAATCTAACTGGCAGAACCTTGGTTTCTCCATTTGTGAAATGAAGGCACTGGATGATAATCCTAGCTCTGCCAACTTCCTGGAGTTTTACCTGCTTCTTGCACTTGAAAATAGTCTCTGATATCTTCCCAGTTGGAATGGAATGTCCTGGGTTTGGGGTTTGTTTTTTGTCATGTCCAGCATTTGTGGAAAAAGAAGATGCCCTAACTATCTTCAAAAGGCACAAAACTAGGTTTTGTTTCTTTCCTTTTTTTGTTTTTGAGATGGAGTCTGTCACTCAGGCTGGAATGCAGTGGTGCAATCTTGGCTCACTGCAACCTCTGCCTCCTGGGTTTAAGTGATTCTCCTGCTTCAGCCTCCTGAATAGCTGGGACTGGGACTACAGGTGTGCACCACTACACCTGGCTTTCTTTTTAGCAGAAACAGTTCTTCACCATGTTGCCCAGGATGGTCTCAAACTCCTGAATTCAGTTAATCCGCCCACCTCAGCCTCCTAAAGTGCAGGGATTTACAGGTGTGAGCCACCATGCCCTGCCCAAAGTAGGTTTTCAAGGTGGAATAAGTTCTTCTCCTAGCTCAGAAGGATCTCAACTTCTTGCAAGTTACTTTTTCACTCTTAAGGGCCCTTAAAGAAGTATTTGCTTAGGTCTATATCCAGACCACCTCTGCCTCCGGGAAGAGCAACAGACCAGCAACAGACATTAAGGTCACCTGGGTGGGTGGGGAGTGAACTGCAGGGGTGATGGCTCCAGCCAATCCAGACAATGAATCGTTAATTGTCTGGAGAAACCAAAGCCTCAAAAGGTGATTGCACTGACTAGGGCTAGCTCTACAACGGTTCACACAATTGCTGAGTGCCTACTCTATGCCAAAGCACTGTGTATTTTTGAGTCCTGGGGGGCACAAAATTGAGATAGCTCCTGCCCTCAAGCTTAATAAAGTAGCTGTCAGTCAAGGGTTAGAGCAGGGTTGGCAAACTACAGCCCACGAGGGCACCTGTTTTTGTAAATAAAGTTTTATTGGAACACCAGCCACACTCATTCATGTTCACGTAGTGTCTGTGGCAGCTTTTACACTACAACAGCAGGGTTGAGCATTTGCAGCAGAGGCCATATGGCCTGCAGAGCCTAAAATCTTCACTTTCTACCCCTTTACAATCTCTGCTAGAGAAGAGATGACATACAACTAAGAAATTAAACAGTGATCAGGGAACTCAAATTATTTACATAATACAATTTCAGAGGCTGGGGGGCTGGCTGAATTTAAAAAGCATGAATTACATGAAGCTTGATTACTGTGAAGAGAAAAATCATCATAAAGTTACTTCTTACATTTAACATATACAATTTAACTGTATGCACTGGTTTAGAACACACACACACACACACACAGTCTCTCACACACAAAATGTAACACAAGCCAACTACTGATCTGGTATAGATGACAAATGGTGATCAGTTCCAACTTCTAAAGGAAAACTGGCTATGATAAATCCATATTTAAAAAGTCACTGTCATTTATGGGTCATCTAAGAGATTTTTTTCAAGGGTAATTTTACCTGCTTGATTGTTCATTTAAGGGTATGCACTGAACGTTGGAACTAACGCGTGCATGAATTCATGCCTTCAAAGCAGTCAACACTGAAGTGTAGGCTGGGCACAGTGGCTCCACCTGTAATCCCAGCACTTTGGGAGGCTGAGGCAGGAGGATCACTTGAGCCCCGGAGTTCAAGACTAGCCTGGGCAATACAGTGAGACCCGGTCTCTATTTCAAAAATATAAAATAATAAAAAGAAAAGAATCTCTCTGCTAACAACAACAAACCCCACTAAGGTGTTGAAGGACTCATTTTAATGAACAGTAAAGAATGGTTTGCATGTTATACTCTGCTTTTTTTATGTTTTGACTTTTAAACAAAGACAAAGAGGCTGCTTTAGCATTTAGGGTTGATCAAAGCAGTTTTTTTTTTTTTTTTTTTTTTTTTTTTTGGTAGAGACAGGGTTTCGCCATGTTTACCCAGGCTGGTCTTGAACTCCTGAGCTCAAGGGATCTTCCCACCTCGCCCTCCTCGAAGTGCTGGAATTACAGGCGGGAGCCACTGCACTCAGCATCTTTGCTATTTGAAACACCAAATGAAGTCATACTAATATGAGATGGAACTGAATTCCATTTAAAGGAAAAGCTCATTAAATAACGATCACCATTGTCTGGCCCTGGGGAGACTACTGAAATTAATGACTGTTTATAGTTCTTGCCCTCTTATCCTCAACAGCTTAGACAAAATCCCAAAGGACTGCTGCTGAAAGCGTCCTGCTGCAAATTACAAGAAAATCAGACCAGCTTCAAGCAGAAAATGCCAAAGACCAGGGCTGGGGAACAGATCCGATGTAAGAACATCCAGATGCTAAGAAAACACCCAGGAATACTGCACAAGAGACACTGCAGTCACGTTGTAGAAGCTGCCATGGAGATGCAGAGTGCGAGTCTGCTCGAAGGAAAGGGTCCGACATTCCAAGCCGCCGTCCTTACATGTAAAATCTCTGAGGTGCACCCTCTTCCACGCTAGCTGATGTAGGAGTTAGAGGTAGTAAATGTGTGCATACAAAGTTCAAACCTGCTTTTTAAAGCCCACCGTAGAAAACATGCTTAAAAAACGGAATTCAGCTATATGCCAGAAAATCAGTAGCATTATGGAAGGAAATTAAAAGTTTAGAAAACAGTCAATACGCAGGCCCTTCCCCATGGTAGAAGGGAGCCTGGGTATTGTGCAATCTCACACCCACTGAAAAAATGCCATGCATGCCACTAAATGCTCTGAGAAAGCATGATTTGCAGTAAGTCACGGCAATACACACCCCGTGACTTAGGAAAGCCAATGCTTCATTTCTCATCCCAATGCACAAAACACAGGGCTCTGTGGGCCTGAGATTTCAGTCTACCCCGAAAAGACTAGTGAGCAGAACCCTATTATTGTCCATTCAGGGCAAAAAGCACTTTCTTATATCTTGCGACCAAAAAAAAAAAAAAAGGAAATAGAACCACAAAATGGGCAGGCACGGTGGTTCATCTTTGGGAGGCGGAGGTGGGGAAACCACTTGAGATCAGGAGTTTGAGACCAGCCTGGCCAGCAATGGTGAAACCCCATCTCTACTAAAAATACAAAAATTACCTGTGTGTGGTAGTGGGAGCCTGTAATCCCAGCTACTTGGGAGGCTGAGGCAGTAGAATCGATGGAACCTGGGAGGCGGAGGTTGCAGTGAGCTGTGATTGTGCCATTGCACTCCAGCTTGAGTGAAAGAGAGGGGCTCCCTCCCAAAAAAAAAACCACATAACAGTATGTTGGTTCATTAGGTTGCCTTTTCAAGTCCTACTTCCCCCCAAAATACTGCCCTGAGAGACAGCTAGAGACTCTCTGCTGGTAGCAGCCGAGTAGCAAAGACATTTTCAAGAGTCAAAAAATGAAATTCAAAATTTGATTTACAACACACTAAAAATGCTTCCCCTCCCCAAACTGAATAAGTGCTTTTTTTTTTTTTTTTCTTTTTTCTTTTCCTCCTAGTCCTTTTGCTTGGGACTAGCCGGCAGTGATTTTCTTGGTTATTCCTCCATCTGGGCCCAGGCCTCTTCGGCCTTTTGGTAGTACTGGTTGGCCAGCCGGCCCTTCATGGCTTCCATCGCTGCCTCTGCTGCCTGAGTATACAAGTCCCCTGAAACACAGCAAAGTGGGGGCACAAAGAGGTGAACCACCTGTTGTTTTTGCCAGCCCAGTGTCCCCATCACCCTTCCCAGAAGAGCACCCTGAAGTGTCCATAGGAACTCAAATTACTCCTTGGGCACGCTCCCTCCAGGTTTTCTGGGTGAGGCTCTAAGGGTGGGCATCAAATCTGGCCAATCACAGCACTCCCCCCATCCCCCACCAAGCCACAGAGATTGGTCCAGACGTAGTCATGGCCAATCAAGGTAAGCCATCTAAACAATAACTACTGTTTGTTTGGGGTAAGTAGATGACTCAATTTGAGCCAATGAGAATCAGGCTGAGAACTAATTTGAGCCAATGAGAATCAAGCTGAGAACTTTTGCAGAACTAATTGGGGATGTGCAAAAGTGGAAGAAATAAAGACTATAAACAGCTTCATGTCAGCTAGGTCAGGTTTTACCACTCAGTGAATTTGTGCAAAACATACAAATATACTTCAAGTTTTTGGAGCTTTTGGATTTAGAAATTTCAAATACAAGATTACAGACTGGCTGGGTGCAGTGGCTCATGCCTGCAATCCAGCACTTTGGGAGACTGAGGCAGGTGGATCACTGGAGGAAAGTAGTTTGAGACCAGCCTGACCAACATGGTGAAACCCCGTCTCTACTAAATGCAAAAAATTAATTAGCTGGGCATGGTGGCAGGTGCCTGTAATCCCAGCTACTTGGGAGGCTGAGGCAGGAGAATTGCTTGAACTTGGGAGGTGGAGGTTGCAGTGAGCTGAGATCACACCATTGCCTGGGCAACAAGAGTGAAACTCTGTCTCCAAAAAAAAAAAAAAGATTATAGATTTGCAGCTCTTTTTCTTTCCCTCCCTTCCTCCCCACCACCTCTCTCTTTCGTTGAGATGGAGTCTCACTCTGTTGCCCAGGCTGGAGTGCAGTGGTACCACTGCCTCTGGGGTTCAAGTAATTCTCTTGCCTCAGCCTCCTGAGTAGCTGAGATTACAGGCACCTGCCACCATGCCTGGCTAATTTTTGCATATTTAGTAGATACCGGGTTTTACCATGTTGGCCAGGCTTGGCCAGGCCCACCTCGGACTTCCAAAGTGCTGGGATTACAGGCATGAGCCACTGTGCCCAGCCTAGATTTGCATTATTCTTTGTTAATTTTTTAATACGACTTAAAACCTTTTTTTTTTTTTATTTGAGACGGAGTTTCGCTCTTGTTACCCAGGCTGGAGTGCAATGGCACGATCTCAGCTCACCGCAACCTCTGCCTCCTGGGTTCAGGCAATTCTCCTGCCTCAGCCTCCTGAGTAGCTGGGATTACAGGCACGCACCACCGTGCCCAGCTAATTTTTTGTAATTTTTAGTAGAGACGGGGTTTCACCATGTTGACCAGGATGGTCTCGATCTGTTGACCTCGTGATCCACCCGCCTTGGCCTCCCAAAGTGCTGGGATTACAGGCTTGAGCCACCGCACCCAGCCCCGACTTAAAACTTTTAAAACGTAGCCTCATCCTATACCTGTGAAATTAGGAACTTAGCATGTTTATGTTATATGCTGCATCCCTGCTAGGCTCCCCATCCACAAATTCATATGTTGAATTCCTCACTCACAATGTAACTGCACTGCATTTGGAGATATACGGTTTGTGTCTTAGTCCATTTTATGTTGCTATGATGACAGAATTCCACAGACTAGATAATTTATAATGAAAATAAATTTATTTGGCTCACAGTTCTAGAGCCTGGGAAGTCCAAGAGCATAGCAGCAGCATCTGGCAATGCCTATGGTGCTGCATCATTCCATGCCAGAAGGCAGAAGAGCAAAAGAGGTAGAGAGCAAGCAAGCTAGAGGGGCCTAATTTGCTTTTATAACAAAGTCACTCTTGTGATGACTGACCCAATGGCATGATAACAACATTAATCACCTCTTAGCAGTCCCACTTCTTAACACCTTCACAATGGTGATTACATTTCAATACGAGTTTTGGAGGAGACATTCATACTCTAGCAGCCTGTGAGGAGGTGATAAAGGCTAAATGAGGTCATAAGGGTGGTGCCCTAATCACACAGAGCTGGTGCCCTTTTAGGAAGCAGAAGAAACAGCAGAGCTCTCTCTAGCTCATTCCCCACTTGCATCCAGGAGACAGGTCATGTGAGGATACAGTGAGAGAGCTGTTGTCCACAAGCCAGAAACCAAATTGGCCAGCACCTTGATCTTGAAATTCCCAGCCTCCAGAAATGTGAGAAATAATTTTTTGTTGTTGTTGTTATTTTTTGAGACAGGGTCTCACTCTGTTGACCAGGCTGAAGTATGGTGATATGAACATGGCTCACTGTGTGTGCCACCGCACCCAGTTAATTAAAAAAATTTTGTTTTTGTAGAGATGAGATCTCCCTATGTTGCCCAGGCTGGTCTTAAACTCCTAGACTCAAGTGATTCTCCGATCTTGGCCTCCTAAAGTGCTGGGATTATAGGCATGAGTCATTGTGCCCAAACATTTTTATAGTTTAAACCACCCAGATTATAGGATTTTGTTTTGGCAGCTCAAAAAGACTAATATATTATGTAACAGAAAAAAATACATACATAACTTGTCTATCAACTGATGAATGGATAAACAAAGGTTGTATATTCACACAATGGAATATTATGTAATAAGAAGGAATGAAGTACTAATAATACATGCTTCAACACAGATGAATCTTGAAAACATGCTAAATGAAAGAAGTAGACACAAAAGTCATACATTGCATAATCCCAGTTATATAAAATCTCCAGAACAGACAAATCTATAGGGACAAAAAGTATAGTGGTTGCTAGGATCGGGGGAGGGCTGCTAACTGGTACTGGATTTCTTTTCGGGGGTGAGGAGAATGTTTTGGAATTACATAGTGGTGATGATTGCATAACACTATGACTCTACTAAAAACTGCCAGGACCAGATGCAGTGGCTCACGTCTGTAATCCAAAGACTTTGGGAAGCCAAGGCAGGAGGACTGCTTGAGGCTAGAAGTTCAAGACCAGCCTGGGCAACATAGCAAGACTCTGTCACTACAAAAAACTTAAAAATTAGCTGGGCACGATGGCAAGTGCCTGTAGTCCCAGCTGCTTGGGAGGCAGAGGCAGGAGGATTGCTTGAGCACAGAAGTTCCAGGCTGCAGGGAGCTATGACTGTGCCACTCACTGCACTCCAGCCTGAATGACACAGCTAGAGTCTATCTCAAAGAAAAAAGAAAAAGAAGAAAAGGAAAGGAGGCCGGGCATGGTGGCTTACACCTATAATCCGAGCACTTTGCGGGGTTGAGGCAGGTGGATCACCTGAGGTTAGGAGTTCAGGACCAGCCTGGCCAACATGGTGAAACTCTGTCTCTACTAAAAATAGAAAAATTAGCCAGAAGTGTGCCTGTAGTCCCAACTACTCGGGAGGCTGAGGTACGAGAATTGTTTGAACCTAGGAGGCAGAGGTTGCAGTGAGCTGAGACAGCCTACTGCACCCCAGCCTGGGCCCCAAGAGTGAAACTCTGGGCCACGCATGGTGGCTTATGCCTGTAATCCAGCACTTTGGTAGGCTAAGGTGGGCAGATCACTTGAGGTCAGGAGTTTAAGACCAGCCTGGCCAACATGGTAAAACCCTGTCTCTACTAAAAATACAAAAATTAGCTGGGTATGGTAGCACGCAATGGTAATCCTGGCTACTCGGGAGGCTGAGGCAGGAGAATCGCCAGAACCCAGGAGGCAGAGGCTGCAGTGAGCCAAGATTGTGCCATTGCATTCCAGCCTAGGTGACAGAGTGAGATTCTGTCTCAACAAAAAAAAAAGAGTGAAACTAAAGGAACCCCCATGCCACTAAACTATATACTTTGAAGATGGTGAATTTCGTTATGAAAAGCTCAACTCAATTTTTAAAATTGCAAAAAACCCCCACAAAGGCCTACTATATAACCATTAAAATGACAGTGTTCATCTTCATACTAGCTCTATAAAGTCCCCTCCCTGGAGGAAGGAGATTCAGCCTGTCATCTTGTCATAACTCCCTCCCGGGAATGGAAATGGAAATTATGTCCCTCCCTGCCCGGCCCTGTCACACCCCAGGGGCAGGTATGCTGGGCCCTACCTGATCTCTGAGGGTCCTTCTTCAGCCCATAGCCTCCCGTGAACAGCATCTCAGCCTCCCTGGCCAGCAGCGTGTGTACCGTGGCTCATCTTGCATTCCATCGTACTCACCGCCCTCATCACAGTCCGTCATTTCCAGCGCAGTGTTGTACCAGTGCAGGGCCTCCAGCCAGTCTTGGCACCTTGCCAGGAGATACAGAAGGAAAGAAGGGGGAGGTTACCATGGCAACGGGATGGAGGGAGGAGGGCCTTCCAGCAGAAAGGGCAAGTCAGGGATCCCAGCAGGGCCACCACCTATGGTTCATGACCTATCTTGCCCAAAGCCAATACATCTATGAGGCACCTTCATATTGTTATTCATTCATTCATTCATTCATTTTTGAGATGGTCTCTTGCTCTGTTGCCCAGGCTGGAGTGCAGTGGTGTAATCTTGGTCTCTCGAGTTCAAGTGATTCTCCTGCCTCAGCCTCCTGAGTAGCTGGGACTGCAGATGCATGCCATCACGCCTGGCTAACTTTTTATATTGTAAAGATGGGGTTTCACCATGTTGGCCAGGCTGGTCTTGAACTCCTAACCTCAAGTCATCTACCCGCCTCAGCCTCCCAAAGTGCTGGGATTACAGGCATGAACCACTGTGCTTGGCCAATATTCAGAGAGCAGTTGACCAGCGTGGGCAACATATAGAGACCCTGTCTCTACAGAAAATTTAAACAGAGACTATAGTAAAAATAATGTAATTATAGGTTTAAAAAGAACTAAGAGTATAATTGGATTGTTTATAACAGTGAACAAATGCTTGAGGTGATGGATACCCCATTTACCCTCTTGCTATTATTACACACGCCATGACCATATCAAAACTCATGTAACCCATATATACACTTACTATGTACCCTCGAAAATTTTAAAAATACAAAAAAGAAAAAAATTAGCTGAGTGTGGTGATGCATGCTTGTAGTCCTAGCTACTTGGGAGGCTAAGGTGGGAGGATAGCTTGAGCCCAGGAGTTAGAGGCTACAGTGAGCTATGATCATGCCACTGCACTCCAGATCTGGCAATAGAGTATGACCCTGTGCCCTGTGTTTAAAAAACAAAAATAGTCAAGTTGCTTTCCTTAATAAAATCAGTATATTACAATTTTCCAATGGATGAAAGTGAAGGGAAGCTTAGCTAGGACACCCCCTTGAGGAAGGAGCCCATTTTTATAGTTTGCACAGAGGCAGCCATGAGCTAGCATTAGCAATATCTGAGTGTCCAAGCTAAGCTGCCCTCTGACTTGTAGAAGTGGACTGGGGGCGGGGTCTTCTGCAGAGGCCTCCAGAGCCATCCGCACTAATGGCAATCATTTGGCCCCACTGTATGCTCTGCTGTGCTGGCCAGCTGCGATTTGCCTCCAGCACAATGTAGAGCTCACCCCAGAATAGCCGAGTCTCCTCTTCCAGCTCTGCCCCTCCACCCTCAACTCTTCCTACTGCAGCTTTGTGGGGCCAAACCAGCCAGGGCACGCACTGGTTCCAGCCAAACCCACGCACCACAGAATACACAGCAAACAGGGCAGAGGGACCTTTTTCTTTGGGTGTAGTGTAATCCATGTGCGTAACTATTTATAGTGTATCAGGAAAGAGCAAATACAGCGACACAGATAAGAGGGGCTATGGGTCTCATGAAACATTCCAGGAGCAAAAGGTCTGATGACTTGCTGTCCCTGCCTTGCTGCCACGGTGCTCTCTGAGGCCCTGTCCAACAGGCTCTGCCCTCCAGAACTGGCTCCTGTTCATCTCCCTTTGCACCAGGATCTCTGGGCTGCTGTCCATCCCCCAAACACACCCACTACTGCCTGCTCTGCGGCCTTTGCACCTGCTGTTCCCTCGCCTCAGAAGATCCTTCCTCCAACTCTTTCTGTACCTGGCTCCTTGCTCTGGTTGGAACATGTGTTCCCTCCAAAACCCATGTTGAAATTTGCTTGCCACTGTGACGGTATTATGAGGTGGGAGCTTTGAGAGGTGATTGGTCTTTGACAGTTCTCTCCTCATGAATGGATTTCTGCCATTACGAGGGGTGGATTTGTTATAAAAGGGTGAGTTTGGGCCCCCTTTTATTGTCTCTTTTTTTTCCTTTTTTGAGATATAGCTTCACTCTGTTGCCCAGGCAGGAGTGCAGTGGCACAATCATAGCTCACTGCAGCCTCAAAGACCTGGGCTCAAGGAATCCTCCTATTTTAACCTCCTGAATAGCTGGGATGACAGGGGCATGTCACCATGCCCAGCTAATTAAAAAAAAATTTTTTTTTATACAGACACAGTATTACTAGGTTGCCCAAGTTGGTCTTGAACTCCTGGACTCTAGTGATGCTCCTGCCTCAGCCTTCAAAAGTGCTGGGATTACAGGCACAGTTACTGCACTTAGCTTGCACTCCCTTCTCTTTCCTTCCCTTCTGTCACGTGATGACACAGCAAGAAGGCCCTTGCCAGATGCCGGCATATTGATATTAGACTTCCCAGCCTCCAGAACTAAGAACCAACAAATTTATGCTCATGATAAATTCCCAGCACAGAACAGACAAAGATACTCACCATCCCTTCAGTCCTCAGCTCGCGTATCACCTCTTCAGAATTCTGTTCCCAAACACTGTTTCTTTTTTTTTTTTTTTTTTTGAGATGGAGTTTCACCGTTGTTACCCAGATTGGAGTGCAATGGCACAATCTCGGCTCACCGCAACCTCCGCCTCCTGGGTTCAAGCAATTCTCCTGCCTCGGCCTCCTGAGTAGCTCGGACTACAGGCATGCGCCACCATGCCCAGCTAATTCTTGTATTTTTAGTAGAGACGGGGTTTCACCTTGTTGACCAGGATGGTCTCGATCTCTTGACCTCATGATCCACCCGCCTCGGCCTCCCAAAATGCTGGGATTACAGGCGTGAGCCACTGTACCCGGCCTCCAAACACTGTTTCTTACAACAACTACTAAAATCTTTAGCTCTCCTTATTCACTTGTTTAGCATGGTATCCCCTGACTAGAACGTAGGCCCTATGAAGGCAGGAACCCCTTGTCTGTTCTGCTGTATTTGTTTGCTGGTCTGGCAAACAGCACAGCAGGCTCAATAAATGTCCAGTGAATGAAGAAATGTAAACAAGTGGCTGACTGGGCTGGTGCTCAGGAGATAACCTTGACTTTATTTTATCTTAATAAAAAGTGGCCAGGTACAGTGGCTCATGCCTGTGATCCCAGCACTTTGGGAGGCCCAGTTGGGAGGATCTCTTGAGCTCAGGAGTTTGAAACCAGCCTGGGCAACATGGCGAAACCCTAGCTCTCCAAAAAAATACAAGTTCATTGGGTATGATGGTGCATGGCTGTGGGCCCAGCTACTCGAGAGGCTCAGCAGGAAGATCGCTTGAGCCTGAGAGGTTGAGACTGCAGTGAGCTATGATTACACCACTGCACTCTAGCCTGGGTGACAAAGCAAGACCGTGTCTCAACTAAATGAATAGATAAATAAATAAAAGTTAAATTTAAAAAATGGACCATTTGAAAATTACTGGTGACATGCTCAACAAACTTCATTTTTTTGTTTGTTTGTTTGCTTGTTTTTTGAGATGATGGAGTTTTGCTCTTGTTGCCCAGGCTGGAGTGCAGTGGTGCGATCTCAGCTCACTGCAATCTCTGCCTCCTGGGTTTAAGCAATTCTCCTGCTTCAGCCTCCTAAGTAGCTGAGATTACAGGTGCCTACCACCACAACTGGCTGATTTTGTATTTTTAGTAGAGACAGAATTTCAGAATGTTGGTCAGGCTGGTCTTGAACTCCTGACCTCAGGTGATCCATCCACCTTGGCCTCCCAAAGTGCTGGGATTACAGGCGTGAGCCACTGCGCCAGGCCCAAACTTGGGTTTTAACACCTACCAGAACACACTAAACTATATTATTTCTCTCCTTTCTGCTCTGACCCTCCCTGGTCTTAAAGGGCAAAGCAAAATTGACCTGAAAAAGTTAAATGTGAAAGACCTAAGCGCTGAGCCTTGTCCACCCCCACCTGATACTATCTCATTGGCAAGGGCGCCCATCCCGCCCTGGCATTTCTAGTATCTTCTCCTTCCGCCTCTTAATGGATGGTAACTTCTGGTGCCTGTATTCCTTAAATGCAACTTTGGGCCTACACAGAGCACTGCCTTACCCAGAGGTGGCCCTTAATCAATGTTCTTTGCATGGGAGGGGTTGGAACTGCTTTGAATAATGAATAAGGAAATGACTAGAGCAGAAGCAATAAATATTTTTGATAGATTTTACTAAAAAAATATTAAAAAGCAATGTGTCCCCAAACCCAGAAAATAATGGTCATTGTGTGGCATCTGTGCCCTCCTCCTATCTATGGTAGACATATTTGAAAAAAGTCTTTTGAAGAGAATCGTGGCCAGGTGCAATGGCTCACACTTGTAGTACCAGCACTTTGGGAGGCTGAGGTAGGAGGACTGCTTGAGGCCGGGAGTTTGAGACCAGCCTGGGCATCACAGCAAACCTTTGTCTCCACAAAAAAATTCTAAAATTTAGCTGAGTATCGTGGCACATGCCTATGGTCCCAGCTACTTAGGAGGCTGAAGCAGGAAGAGATCACTTGAGCCCAGGTCAAAGCTACAGTTAGCTATGATTACATCACTGTACTCCAGCCTGGGTGACAGAGAGACCCTGTCTCAAAAATAAATACGTGGATAAAAAATAGGCCAGGCATGGTGGCTCACATGTGTAATCCCAGCACTTTGGGAGGCTGAGGCGGGTGGGATCAGCTGAGGTCAGGAGTTCGAGACCAGCCTGGCCAACATGGTGAAACCCTTTCTCTATTAAAAATACAAAAATTAGCCAGGTGTGGTGGTGCACATCTGCAGTCCCAGCTACTGGGGAGATTGTGGCAGGAGAATCACTTGAAGCCAGGAGGCAGAGGTTGCAGTGAGCCGGGATTGTGCCACTGCACTCCAGCCTAGGAGACAGAGCAAGACTCTGTCTCAAAAATAAAATAAAAAGGCCAGGCATGGTGGCTCACACCTGTAATCTCAGCACTTTGGGAGGCTCAGGCAGGTAGACTGCCTGAGGTCAGGAGTCAATATGGTGAAGTCCTATTTCTATTTAAAAAATAAAAATTAGCTGGGTGCGGTAGCAGGTACCTGTAATCCCACCCACTTGGGAGGCTGAGGCAGGAGAATCACTTGAACCCAGGAGGTGGAGGTTGCAGTGAGCCACGATTGAACCACTGCACTCAAGCCTGCATGACAGAGTGAGACTCCATCTCAAATAATAATAGTAATAATAATAATAATATTAAATTAAAAAATAGAGAAAAGTATACCAAAGGGTTAACAGTCTTAATATGTAAAGAATTTTTACAAATCAATAAAATCCTAGCACCTCAAATTGACATAAAAGGTAGACAAAGGCAAGGAAGAGAAAGCACAGATGCAAATACTCAGTGCCCAGCTCCAGGCCCTGCCCCATGCATGATGCGCTTCCCCACTGCACTCAGTAGGCACCATGTGTATACACTGACATTTGACCTAATACAATCATGTCAGTCTTTTTTGTTTACCTCTCCTCCATGCCAGTAGTAGACAGTACATCGGAGGAGGGGTGAGAATACATAAGTTGGTTCTGCCATTTGCTTCAAATTTGCTTCAAATTTGACCATAAGCAAGCCCCTTCACATCTCAGCACTAGTTTAATCACCCATAAAATGGAGCCCAAAATACCTGCCCTAGTCAGGCCTGGTGGCTCACACCTGTAATCCCACTGGGAGGCTGATCTCAATGAGCCCAGGAGATCAAGACCAGTCTGGACAATATAGTGAGACCCTCATTCTCTACAAAAAAATTAAAAATTTAGCTGGATGTGATGGTACATGCCTATAGTCCCAGCTACTCAGGAGGCTGAGGCGGGATGACTGCTTGAGCCCAGGAGGTAGAGGCTACAGTGAGCTAGGATTGCACCACTGTCCTCCAGCCTGGGTGACAGTGTAAGACCCTGTTTCTTTTTTTCTTTTTTGAGACTGAGTTTCGCTCTTGTTGCCCAGGCTGGAATGCAGTGGCTCAATCTTGGCTTATTGCAACCTCCCTCCTGGGTTCAAGCGATTTTCTTGCCTCAGCCTCCCAAGTAGCTGGGAGTACAAGTGCCCACCACCACATCCAGCTAATTTTTTTTATTTTTAGTAGAGACAGGGTTTTACCATGTTGGCCAGGCTTTGGCAAGACCCCATTTCTAAAATAAAATAAGAAATAAGAAAAGTCAATTAAAATCACCCATAATCCTTACAACTAGGGACACCCACTCTGACCTGGATGCTGCATATTCTTTCAGATTTTTTTCAGGCAGATCATTACCTATATTGGCTACAGTGGCTGCCCCATGTCACATGCCTCTTTTATTTATTCATTTTTTTTTGAGATGGAATCTCACTCTTTCACTCAGGCTGGAGTATAGTAGCACAATCTCAGCTCATTGCAACCTCTGCTTCCTGGGTTCAAGTGGTTCTCTTGCCTCAGCCTCCCAAGTAGCTGGGTAGCTGGTCTTATAGGCACCCACCATCACACCTGGCTATTTTTTTTTTTTTTTTTGTTTTTTGAGATGGAGTCTTGCTCTGTGGCCCAGGCTGGAGCGCAGTAGCACGATCTCGACTCACTGCAACCTCCGCCTCCTGGGTTCAAGTGATTCTCCTGCCTCAGCCTCCTGAGTAGCTGGGATTACAGGCATACACCACCACACCCAGCTATTTTTTTTTTTTTTTTTTTTTGTAGTTTTAGTAGAGACGGGGTTTTACCATGTTGGCCAGGTGGGTCTCGAACTTCTGACTTCAAGTGATCTGCCCGCCTTGGCCTCCCAAAGTGCTGGGATTACAGGCATGAGCCACCACACCTGGCCATACCACGAACTTTATGTGCCGGCCGCTGTGTGGGTTACAGGCATCATCTCATTTACCCTTCATGGGACAACCCCAGGATATAAGTGCCATAATTATTCCCAGTTTACAACATGAAGAAACTGAGACCAGGGAGGTAAAATAACTTGCCCGTGGTTGTTGGACTGGTCATGGGGGAGCCAAGACTGGAACCCAGGTCTGTACTGAGGGCAAGTGCCCACCTGCAGCCCACGTTCCCACCAGCTCCTCCTGGGGGACAGCTGCAGTACCTGTCTGGGCTGAGGTTCTGGCCTGCATCAAAAGCTCTCGCCACTAGGATCATGGACTGCCTGTCGCCAGCTTCAGCGGCCTTCAGTAAGTAATCAAATCCTTTGGTTTTGTTCTCTTGAGTCTCCTGTTGATACAAACCAAAGAGGGAGAAAGAAAAGTGAATGAGGCTGGCACTCGAGGGCTGCCAAGATCTTGCTACTCAATCTTCACCCTGTTTCTTGAGAGCTCTGGGCTGGGAGGCTGTAGAAGTGAGGGAGGAGGAGGGACTTGATTCGAGGCTTGGCTCAGACACTACAACAAATCAAGGACGAGCTAACACAGGGATGGGGGTGGGGAAACAGCTTTTCATAAGACATGCCCACCAGTGCACCAGGTCGGTTTCCCATTGCCTTGTCTGGGCAACACGTGAGTTACTGCCCGTTTCCACGGTATGGCGCCACAACCTAGAACTTACTACCCTTTCCCTGGAAATTTCTGCATAAACCACCTCTTTTTTTATTTTTTATTTTCATTTTTTTGAGACGGAGTTTCGCTCTTGTTACCCAGGCTGGAGTGCAATGGCGCGATCTCAGCTCACTGCAACCTCTGCCTCCTGGGTTCAGACAATTCTCCTGCCTCAGCCTCCTGAGTAGCTGGGATTACAGGCACGCGCCACCATGCCCAGCTAATTTTTTGTATTTTTAGTAGAGACGGGGTTTTACCATGTTGACCAGGAGGGTCTCGATCTCTTGACCTCATGATCCACCGGCCTCAGCCTCCCAAACCACCTCTTAATATGCATGCAATTAAGAGTAGGCATAAATCTGACTGCAAAACTACCCTGAGCTGCTAATCTCAGCACACTGCCTGAGGGGCAGCCTGACTCCGCAGAAGCAGTCATGGAGCTGTACCACTGCCTAAGCTACAACACTGCCACTTCAATAAAGCTGTTTTCATCTACCTCTGGCTCACCCTTGAATTCTTTCCGGGGTGAAGCAAAAAACCATCTTGGGCTAAGCTCCAATTTGGGGCCTGCCTGCCCTGCATCAGAAGTCGACATCAGGGCCGGGCTGTGTGGACTGGCCAGACTACACTCCAGCCTAGGTGACAGACTCTGTCTCAAAAAAAAAAAGTACACATCAGTAGTTTTTAGTAAATTCACACAACTGTACAACCATCACCAGTCAATTTCAGAATACCTTCGCCAATCCAAAAAGAAATCCCCTACCACCGGGTTTGGTGGCTCACACCTGTAATCCCAAATCCCAGCACTATGGGAGGCTGAGGCGGGTAGATCACCTGAGGTCAGGAGTTCGAGACCAGCCTGGCCAACATGGTGAAACCCTGCCTCTACTAAAATACAAAAATCAGCCGGGCATGGTGGGACACATCTGTAATCCCAGCTGCTCGGGAGGCTGAGGCAGAATTGCTTGAACCTGGGAGGCAGAGGTTGCAGTGAGCTGAGATCATGCCACTGTATTCCAGCCTGGTTGATAGAGCAAGACTCCATCTCAAAAAAAAAAAAAAAGGCTAGGTGTGGTGGCTCACACTTATAATCCCAGCACTTTGGGAGGCTGAGGCAGGTGGATCACAAGGTCAGGAGTTCAAGACCAGCCTGACCAACATAATGAAACCCGTCTCTACTAGAAATACAAAAGTTAGCCAGGTGTGGTGAGGTGCACCTGTAATCCCAGCTACTCAGGAGGCTGAGGCAGGAGAATCACTTGAATCCGAGAAGCAAAGGTTGCAGTGAGCCGAGATCATGCCACTGCACTCCAGCCTGGTTGACACAGTGAAACTGTCTCAAAAAAAAAAAAAAAAAAAAAAAAGAAATCCCATACTGCTTAACTGTCAATCTCCCTCTACCCCTACTCTCCCTATCCTGTTCAGCTCTACACAACCATTAGTCTACTTTCTGCCTCTATGGATTGACTATTCTTCATAATAATAGAATCATACAATATGTGGTCCTTTGTGACTCCTTCACTTAGCACAGTGCTTTCAAGGTCCATCTGTGTTGTAGCACATACCAATGTTTCATTCCTTTTTATGATCAAATAGTCTATGGTATGAATATATCATGTTTTGTTTATCCATCCACTGACAGACATCTGAGTTGTTTCCATTTTTTGGCTATTATAAATAATGCTGCTATGAAGACTTGTGTGCAAGCTTTTAAATAAAAGTGTTTTTATTTTTTTGGGTTAATAGCTATGAGTGAAACTGCTGGGTCACATATAACTTACCCCACAGAAAGGAGACACTGCTACAAATCAGGGCTTGATTGATGGTATTTTTGATTGTCAGAAAGGGGTGGAAAACATGAACAGGGCAGATGAAACTAACAAGTGGGTCATGCCTGTAGCTGTTCTAATGTGACGAGTGCAGGAAATTGAAGAAATATCCTTCCAGTATTTAAAACTAACATCTGATTCAGAAAAGACATTGCTCACATCAGAGGCAGATGAAGTTCCTGTTCTAACACAGGTTTTTGTTAATTTCACTTTCATCTCATTCATTTATGTCAGAACTACACTTCTCTATCAATTGCAACCATAGGTTGGCTATGGGTACAAGAGTTTGCAAAAACCAGTGCAAAGTATTGTGTGAGAGTTGATAATGTGACATTTACTTTTCATTATTTGTAAACTGTATGCGACATATAATTTTTTCTTTTTTTCTTCATTATTACTATTTTTTAGACAGGGTCTTGCTCTGTTGCCCAGGCTAGAGTGCAGTGGCTCCATCATAGCTCACGGAAGCCTCAAAGTCCTGTGGTGTGTGGTTTTTATCCTCCCACCTCACTCTCCCAAGTAGCTGGGACTACAGGCATGTGCCACCAAACCAGGCTAATTTGTTTTTTTGGGAGTGGTGGGGTTTGTAGAGATCGTTTTGCTATGTTTCCCAGGCTGGTCTGAAACTCCTGAGCTCAAGCAATCCTCCCTGTCTTGGCCTTCCAAAGTGCTGGGATTACAGGTGTAAGCCACCATGCCCAGGCTACGTATTCTTTAAGTGAGTAAAATTTAATATATTTATATATATATGTGCACATTTCCCTCCCACCCCCAAGAGCCAATTGTTAAATGTTTCCCAGCACAACACTGGCTGAATGAGCACAGAATTAGAGAGAGAGGCCAGGTGTGGTGGCTCATGCCTGTAATCCCAGCACTTTGGGAGGCTTATGCAGGCAGATCACCTGAGGTCAGGAGTTCGAGACCAGCCTGGCCAACATGGTGAAGCCTCGTCTCTACCGAAAATACAAAAATTAGCCTGAAGTGGTGGCGCAGGTCTGTAATCCCAGCTACCTGGGTGGCTGAGGCAGGAGACTTGCTTTAACTTGGGAAGCAGAGGTTGCATTGAGCCAAGATCACACCACTACATTCCAGCCTGGGTGACAGAGTGAAATTCCATCTCAAAAAAAAAAAAAAAAAAAGGATGAGAGAGAAAATTCCGAGAGACAAAAAAGTAAAAATTCCCCTCTTCCAACCAAACCTCCCCATCACCATCTGAAACGGGGGGAAAAAAAAAAAAAAAGCAGTGGGAGACCCCCTGTCCACATGTCAAATGATGTAATATGACTGAACCATAAGAAACTGCCTGCTGGGCATGGTGGCTTATGTCTGTAATCCCAGCACTTTGGGAAGCTGAGGCGGATCACATGAGGTCAGGAGTTCAAGACCAGCCTGGCCAAGACAGTGAAACCCCATCTCTACTAAAAATGCAAAATTAGCCAGGTGTTGTGGCAAGTACTCGTAATCTCAGCTACTTGGGAGGCTGAGGCAGAAGAATTGCTTGAACTCAGGAGGCAGTGGTTGCAGTGAGCCCAGATCGTGCCACTGCCCTCCAGCCTGGGCAACAAGAACGATATTCCATCTCAGGAAAAAGAAAATAGGCCGGGCACAGTGGCTCAAGCCTGTAATCCCAGCACTTTGGGAGGCCGAGGCGGGTGGATCACGAGGTACCATCCTGGTCAACATGGTGAAACCACGTCTCTACTAAATATACAAAAAATCAGCTGGGCACGGTGGCCCGTGCCTGTAATCCCAGCTACCCAGGAGGCTGAGGCAGGAGAATTGCCTGAACCCAGGAGGCAGAGGTTACGGTGAGCCGAGGTCGCGCCATTGCACTCCAGCATGGGTAACAAGAGCGAAACTCCATCTCAAAAATAAATAAATAAAAATAAAAATTTAAAAAAAGAAACTGCCAATATTCTACCATTTATGACCTTCAAAAATAGCAGTTTGATGGGGTTCCACCTATTATGCACAAAGCCAGTCGCTGTAGCAATTTTTGTAATATCAAAAGAATACAGCCGGGCTGGGCTCAGTGGCTCACGCCTGTAATCCCCACTTTGGGAGGCTGAGGCTGGTGGATCACCTGAGGTCAGGAGTTCAAGACCAGCCTGGCCAACATGGCAAAACCCCATCTCTACAAAAATACAAAAATTAGCAAATTAGCTGGGCACGGTGGCACATGCCTCTAGTCCCAGCTACTTGGGAAGCTGAGACAGGAGAATTGCTTGAGTCCAGGAGGTGGAGGTTGCAGTGCGCTGAGATCATGCCACTGCACTCCAGCCTGGGTGACAGAGAGAGACTGTCTCAAAAAAAAAAAAAAAAAAAAAGAATACAGCCAACCCAAGTGTCCATCAATAACACACAGGTATGCCCCACACATATATAATAGAACCTTACGCAGCTGTCACAAAGATCAGGAAGCTGGCCAGGCATGGTGGCTAACACCTGTAATCCCAGCATTTTGGGAGGGTGAGGCAGGCAGATGACTTGTGGTCAGAAGTTTGAGACCAGCCTGGCCAACATGGTGAAACCCCATCTCTACTAAAAATACAAAAATTAGCTGGGTGTGGTGGTGGGCACCTGTAATCCCAGCTACTTGGGAGGTTTAGGCAGGAGAACTGATTGCTTGAACCTGGGTGGTAGAGGTTGCAGTAAGGTGAGATTGTCACCCCAGCCTGGGCCACAGAGCGATACTGTCTCATATTAAAAAAAATAATAAAGAAGCTATCTCTATACCACTGAAGTAAAATGTCCACAGGACACTGTCAAGTGAAAAACATTAGCTTCAGGAGTGTGTGTGCAGGATGCTAACTTTGGAGGAAAAAGCAGGGTGAAAACAGGAACCTATTTCATATTTGCATATGGAAACTGTGTTCTGGGCTGAACAATAAATAACCTCCCAATATTCATGTCCAGGCAGAATGTGATCTGATTTGGAAATAGGGTCTTTGAAGACATAGTTATACTGGTGGGCACTATGGCTCACTCCGGTAGTCCCAGCACTTTGAGAGGCTGAGGCCAAGAGTTCGAGACCAGCCTGGCCAACATGGTGAAACCCTGTCTCCACTAAAAATACAAAAATTAACCAGGTGTGGTGGCGGGTGCCTGTATTCCTAGCCACTCGGGGGACTGAGGCAGGAGAATTGCTTGAACCTGGGTGGAGGTTGCAGTGAGTGGAAATCACAACACTGTATTCCAGCCTGGGTGACAGAACGAGACTCCATCTCAAAAAAAAAAAAAAAAAGTTATATTAAGATGAGGTCATGCTGGATGTTGGGTGGGCCCTAAATGCCATATGACTGCTGTCTTTATAAAAGCAGAAGAAACGGAGACAGGGACACAAGGGGAGGATGGAGACAGAGATTGCACTGATCCAAGCCAAGGAATAATGAAGACTGCCAACGATGCCTAGAAGCCAGAAGAAATGAAGAAGGATTCTCCTCTCAAGCCTTCAAAGGCATGGTTCTACTGACACCTTGATTTTTGGAATTCTAGCTTCCAAAACTATGACAGAACAAATTTCTGTTGTTATTAGCCACCTGGTTTGTGGAATTTCTTAAGGAAGTCCTAGGAAATGAACACATTCTGGAATTACATATAAGTAACTAATAATGAGAGGATGAGAGGATGCGGGGAAGGTAGGAGGGAGATTTTTCACTGTACAGCTTTTTTTTTTTTTTTTTGAGACCGAATCTCACTCTGTTGCCCAGGCTGCAGTGCAGTGGTGTGATCTCAGCTAACTGCAACCTCTGTCTCCTGGGTTCAAGCAATTCTCCTGCCTCAGTCTCCCGAGTAGCTGGGATTACAGGCACACACGACCACACCCGGCTAATTTTTTATTTTTTTTTGGTAGAAATGGGGTTTTGCCATGTTGGCCAGGCTGGTCTTGAACTCCTGACCTTAAGTGATCTGCCCCCCTCAAAGTGCTGGGATTACAGGTATGAGCCACCACACCCAGCCTAAGCTTTTTATATTAAAAAAAAAAAAATCCTTTTTGGCTAGGCGTGGTGGCTCACTCCTGTAGTTCCAGCACTTTGAGAGGCTGAGGCAGGAGGACTGCTTGAACCCAGGAGGTCAAGGCGGCAGTGAGCTACAATCACGCCATGGCACTCCAACCTGGGCGACAGAGTAATACCCTGTCTCTAGAATAGTCAGAGTGGTCATGCCTGTAATCCCAGCACTTTGGGAGGCTGAGGCAGGCAGATCACCTGAGGTCAGGAGTTAGAGACCAGCCTGGCCAACATGGTGAAACTCTGTCTCTATTAAAAATACAAAATTAGCTAGGTGTGGTGGTGGACACCTGTAATTGCAGCTACGCAGGAGGCTGAGGCAGGAGAATCCCTTGAACCTGGGAAGTGGAGGTTACAGTGAGCTGAGATCACACCACTGCACTTCATCCTGGACAACAAAGCAAGACTCTGTCTCAAAAGAACAAAAACAAAACAATAAATAAGGTTTTAATCACATCAATGTAATTACTGATTCAAAAAGCTAAATACATGAAGGACTTTGGAGTATCTTCCCACCCTCTTTGAGTCTGAGATCCATCCACCCACTGGGCCACACCCTGCACCCACGCTGAGCCTAGGTCACCTGTCCATGGGCAGGCAACCTTGGCCCATGGGATGGGGAGGATGGGAACAGGTATACTGGGAGCAGCATGTGCCCACCAAAGGCCTCTCAACTTCTCCTGGGAAAAGATCCCATTCCCTGGGCCTTGCCAGATCCCAGTCATTCAATCCTTTCCTCCCTCTGCCCACGGCCTAGGGTCAGAAGGAGCAAACCCCTACACAATTGCCCTGCACATCCACACTCTGCTGCTTTGGCTCCAGTTCTGCCTCAGCTCCTGCTGCACCTCTAGCTATACCTCTAGATGCACCCTAACTCTCACTTCTGGGCTTGAGCACATGCGGTACCTTCTACCTGAGCTGCTCACCTCCCCAACTTGGCCTGGCTCACTCCCCTTGGGTCTTCAGGTCTAAAGCAGATATCCCCCCAACCCACTTTTTTTTTTTCTTTTAGAGACAGGATCTCACTGTTGCTCAGGCTGGAGTGCAGTAACACGGTCTTGGCTCACTACAAACCCCCGCTTCCTGGGTTCAAGAGATTCTCCCACCTCAGCCTCCCAAGTAGGTGGGATTACAGGTGCGCACCACCATGTTCAGTTCAGCTAATTTTTGTATTTTTTTGGTACAGATGGGGTTTCACCATGTTGGCCAGGCTAGTCTCAAATTACTGGCCTTATGTGATCCACCCATGTCAGCTTCCCAAGTGCTGGGATTAAAGGCGTGAGCCACCTAGCCGGCCTAACGTAGGTATCCCTTTATCTGTTCATTCCATAAATCTGTACTGAGCATTGACGCAGTGCCAGGCCCCAACCACTAGGGATACAGCCAAAACCGATGAGCGTTCTGGAAGCCTGCACCAACCCCTCCAGGCCTCAGTTACAGCCCTTCCTCACGTGTTTCCACCATGTCTTCTGTTTCTCCCATCACACCATGTCCATGTTATTGCCTGGAAATGTGACTCACCTTCCCGTCATTCTCCAAAGACAGAGATCGATTCTGCCAGTTTCAACTCATTTGAAAGGGCCTGCCCCCAAACTAGTGCCCTGGACATTTCTGTGGCATGCAGAAACCTCAGGATAGAAGGCACGTGAATGCATGGCTTCCAGGATGGGAGGCAGGTGAATGACAGGGTGACCAAGTCCAACCCCCACCTGCAGCTGTGTTCCTGCCACCTGCTCACCTTCAGAGAGACGTTGGCTAGAATGTGATGGGGCAGCTGCGAGTACATGAGTCCCAGGCCCACAATGGCCTCCAGCTCGCCCAGGTCAGCCGCGTGTTCCAGGTGGAAGACGGCCGACTCCTGGTCCCACTCCTCGCCCTTCTTGCAGAAGCGCCCACCCTCGTGGTAGCGCACCATGGCCAGATGGACCTGCCACACAGACTACAGTGTCAGCCCAGCTGTCTGGCCGGCCGAAGCCGCACCCAAGACCGCCCAGCCAGCCTGCGGGAGAAAGTGATTAGCGTAGGAGAGGCTAGAGCCGGGAGGATCCAGGTTAATGCAGACAGGGCTCCAAAATGGGCATCGCCGATACCTTCCCCAAAATGGACTTCCCAATTTTCTTTTCGAGGTCCAGAGCATTAAGCCTTTGCACTTCCAGGGCCACGGCCGAAGCCCTCGGCAGGTGGAGGCGGGAGGAGTTGAGGAGATTCCACTTCTCTACACAGACCTGAAGGGAAAGAACCGGCCAGAGAAGCGAGGGGCTGGGGGTGGATACAGCATCACAGCTGTCAGCAGCCCCTGCTGCACAGGAGCCTGGCTAGAAGGAGACGGGGAGTGAACCCTTTCGATGTCAAAGTTTATTGGCCAAACATGGCTCCAATGTGTTTTTTTGAGACAGATTCTTGCTCTGTTAGCCAAGCTTGAGTGCAACAGCACAATCTTGGCTCACTGCAACCTCCGCCTCCCAGGTTTGAGCGATTCTCCTGCCTGAGCCTCCTGAGTAGCTGGGACTACAGGCATGTGCCACATGCCTGGCTAATAAGGATCCAATTTTAATCATTCAAATTCAATCAGCTCATGGATTCAGGAGCTAGCGGAACAGATTTCAGCAGCTCAAGGAAGCATCTCCCTGTCATTTACCAATCTGGGTTTGGTTTGTTTGGGGGGGTCTGACCCTAAACCACCCCCCTTTATGAGGTCCCCACATAAGGCACCAGAAGACTCCCACTTCAGACCTTCCAGCAAATCCACTTTGCTTTCCTCTGCAAATGACAAGAGCAATATCAGCAGGGTGCTTTAGGAAATGGGCTTAAAAAATACATCATTTCATGGCCGGGCGCAGCGGCTCGAACCTGTAATCCCAGCACTTTGGGAGGCCGAGGCGGGTGGATCACGAGAGATTGAGACCATCCTGGTCAACATGGTGAAACCCCGTCTCCACTAAAATACAAAAAATCAGCTGGGCACGGTGGCGCGTGCCTGTAATCCCAGCTACGCAGGAGGCTGAGGCAGGAGAATTGCCTGAACCCAGGAGGCGGAGGTTTCGGTGAGCCGAGATTGTGCCATTGCACTCCAGCCTGGGTAACAAGAGCGAAACTCCGTCTCAAAAAAAAAAAAAAAAAAAAAATACATCATTTCTCCTAGGAAAAGATGCCATGTCTCCAGAGGCTCTTGCAGGATACACCCAGGCAGGTGTGTGTGCACATGTGCATGCTAAACATCTTGCAACGCACAGGGCAGCCCCCTCAACAAGGAACGATTCAGCCCATAATGCCAATAGTGCCTTGCTTGAGCAACCCTGTTTCCCACCTAGCTGAGAAGATCCTGATCTGGCTAAAACATAGCGCATGGTAAATAATCAGTGTTCTGGGAGAAGCAAGAGTCATGCCTGCGGGGGAGGTCAGGAAAGGCTCCTGGAGGAGGTACCCCTGAGGTCCAGGCTTGCAGAGCAGGGAGGATTTGAAGAGAGAAGACAGAGGGGGACAAAGGACATTGCAGGCAGGAGAAAGATTCGCTTTAGCAAAGGCTCAAAGGTGAGCAGTTCAAAGCATGTGTGGGAATCAGTTAAGAGAGGTAGGTAGGGCACAGGGCTGGTCTTTCCCAGACATGCTGATGCTTGTTAGACATACAAGCGAGGGTAACCGGGGGAACGTTGCTTAAGAACCAGTTTCTCATACATAAAATGGGATGAGTGACATTAGCCTATGTCCTGGGTGGTTGCAAGAAGAAAATTGATTAATGCTACAAAGCGCCTTTATGGCAGGCACTTAAGACAGGAGCCGTAGCTGTTGTGATTTCCCCTCGAGGATGAGGCTGTCCTGTTCTTCTCTAATCTCTACAAATTCCCCAATATCCTGCCCAGCAGAGGTTCAAACAGCAATTGCCCAGGAGATTTGTTGCTTTGCAAAATCTTCCTTTGGCACATGTGCGAGACAGATGGGCAGGCAGCAGAGACTTTAGACAGGAGAGACTTAAGACAGCAAGAGCCTGGAGGAGGCAGGGAAGCGGCGGTGACAAGGGTGACTCAGGGCATTACCCGTCCGGAGCTGCCCAGGCTGTCTTCGTCAGACTCATACTTCCGATTACCGTTGGAATGGCCCTGAATGGAGGCAGAGATTACAGTGATCCAAAGTGCAAAGCTTCTTCCCAGGAACCTCTCCTGAGCTGCTCCAGCCCTCCTCCCTGGAACCAGCCTGGCCCTCCCAGGTGACCCTTCTCTCAGAAAATTGGCCCTACATTCCCAGGTGACACGGGAACTCTTGTCTGCCAAGCAGAAGGGATGTTGGCAGGGATGACATGCTGGTGCGGTCACAGCCTAGCTGTCCCCCTCCCTGTGTGAGCAGGTGGAACTGACTCAATAGTGCAGGATTCCAGCACAAAGCCATGGGGGGAAAGGGGCTGAGTCCTAGCCAGAGCACCTACTGCATGTTTAGTTTTTTTATGTGAGACATGGGTCTCGCTCTGTTGCCCAGGCTGGAGTGCAGTAATGCCATCAAAGCTCACTGTTGCCTCAAACTCCTAAGGTTTAAGCAATCCTCTCGCACTGCCCTCCCAAAGTGCTTGAATTGTAGGTGTCAGCCACCATGCCCAGCCAAAGTGCTTTTCTTATTTTTTTTCGAGACAAAGTCTCGCTCTGTCATCTAGGCTGGAGTGCAGTAGCACCACAATCTCGGCTAACTGCTGCACCCTCCATCTCCTGGGTTCAATCGATTCTCACCCCTCAGCCTCCCAAGTAGCTGGGATTACAGGTGTCTGTTCCTATGCCTGGCTAATTTTTATATTTTTAGTAGAGATGAAGTTTCTTCATGGTGGCCAGGCTGGCTTCAAATTCTGACCGAAAGTGATTCCCCCCACCTTGGCCTCCCAAAGTGCTAGAATTACAGCCCCACCCCCCCTTTTTTTTTTTGCTCCTGTTGCCCAGGCTGGAGTGCAATGGCACGATCTTGGTCCTGCAACCTCCACCTCCTGGATTCAACTGATTCTCCTGCCTCAGCCTCCCAAGTAGCTGGGATTACAGGCATACACCACCATGTCTGGCTAATTTTGTATTTTTAGTAGAGATGGGGTTTCTCCACGTTGGTCAGGCTGGTCTCAAACTCCCGACCTCAGGTGATCTGCCCACCTGAGCCTTCCAATGTGCTGAGATTACAGGTGTGAGCCACCACGCTTTTTTTAAAAAGACAGAGTCTTGCTCTGTCACCCAGAGCTGGAGTACACTGGCATGACCTTGGCTCACTGCAGCCTTCACCTTCCAGTCTCAAGTGATCCTCATGCCTCAGCCTCCCAAGTAGATGGGACTAGAGGAGTGCATCACTGCACTGGGCTAATTTTTGTATATTTAGTAGTGATGGGGTTTCACCATGTTGGCCAGGCTGGTCTTGAACTTCTAGCCTCAAGTGATCTGCCTGCCTCAGCCTCCCAAAGTGCTGGGATTACAGGCATAAGCTACTACGCCTGGCCAGCATGTTCTTTATTTACAATCATAAAGCTGAGATCAGAGGTGTCTCAGCAAGACTGGCCTTGATGTGCAGGCTCCATTCCAGCACAGGGTAAGACCTCTAAATGGCAGATACTGTCTGAGGCTGCCCTCACCAGGATGCTGCTAGGAAGCTGCCGTAGGAAACTGACCTCCAAGGCCCTCCTCCCCGGGGCCTCACAGGATCCTGCACTGCATATGAGTGGGTCCAATTATTACTCACGATTCTCTCTGCTCAGCAACCCAGGGCTCCCACTTCACCGTAAGATTTGTCAGCCATTATCAGCCTTACATCTAAGACTCCACACTTGCCCAGTTACTGGTTGACATGATCCTGTTTTATCTTCTCCCTTGCATTTATCTTTATCTGAAATGCTTTTTTTTTTGAGACAGAGTCTCACCGTGTTGCCCAGGCTGGGGTGCTGACTGCAACCTCCATCTTCTGGGTTCAAGAGATTCTCCTGCCTCAGCCTCCCGAATAGCTGGGATTATAGGTATGTACCAACATGCCTGGCTAATTTTTGTATTTTTAGTAGAGATGGGATTTCACCATGTTAGCCAGGGTAGTCTGGAACTCCTGATTTCAGGTGATTCACCCGCCTTGGCCTCCCAAGTGCTGGGATTACAGGCCACCACGCTGGGCCTGAAATACTCTTTGTTAATTTACCTGTTTTCTTTCCAGGACCCACTGATACTCCCCTTCCAGGAAGGGGAGTTTTTATTTTCCTGGAGGATAAACGAGACAATGGTTGACATGATCCTGTTTTATCTTCTCCCTTGCATTTATCTTTATCTGAAATGCTTTTTTTTTTGAGACAGAGTCTCACCGTGTTGCCCAGGCTGGGGTGCTGACTGCAACCTCCATCTTCTGGGTTCAAGAGATTTTCTCCTGCCTCAGCCTCCCGAATAGCTGGGATTATAGGTATGTACCAACATGCCTGGCTAATTTTTTGTATTTTTTAGTAGAGATGGGATTTCACCATGTTAGCCAGGGTAGTCTGGAACTCCTGATTTCAGGTGATTCACCCGCCTTGGCCTCCCAAGTGCTGGGATTACAGGCCACCACGCTGGGCCTGAAATACTCTTTGTTAATTTACCTGTTTTCTTTCCAGGACCCACTGATACTCCCCTTCCAGGAAGGGGAGTTTTTATTTTCCTGGAGGATAAACGAGACAATAGGAGACACT